CGGGTGGGCAATTTTGGGGGAGCTCTGGAGACATTTAAGAATCTGGAGAAACTCAGAGGCTCTACTGGTTTTGCAGTAGTTTTGACATTTTTCGACATTTTCTTGTTAAGCTACACTAAGCTTATTTTCAGGCTTATATTACATATTTCATGCATTTCCTGGCTCAATGTGGCAGAAAGCATACTTAGAGGAGGGTCTCTGGCAGCTGTAGAAAAGTAGTTTGGGGCCAAATACCCATCCAAAAGAAGTCCAAGCTTGCATTAGGTTCACATGGTCCCAATATTTCTTCTTTCACAGTTGGGAGGAGAGGGTTAGCGTGCTTGGACTCGTTTCACCTTCCATTCATCCCACTAAAACAGGCTTTGTCAACTCTCCAAATGTTTTGCACCACACTTTCCATCACCTCCAGCCATTGGTCAAGCTGTCTGAGGTTGATGGGAGATGAGAGTCCAAAAAACTTGAGGGATACAAATGACATAACTGTGGTTAATTGTCATGTGTGAATGTGCCTTTCTGGAGGCTCATCCTGGAATCTCCATAAAACAGGAGCAGTAAACAAATATTAAACACACAATATTTCATCACAGTTAACTAGCAAGTTCAACCCAATTTCTCAGATATACTTCGCCATCTAATCCAGCACTGTCTTTTAGAAGATCCTTAAAAAATGTATTGGCAAGTCAGGATGGAGAACATTGCCACTGGTTTGTTCCCAGCAATAAGCAGAAATACACTGCCAGTGAATATGGTGGCCTCTTATTTAGTTGTTATATATAGAAGCCAGTGATCTATTTGTCACCTATGAATATATCCGTATAGTGTTTTTATGGAACCAGAAATAACCGATTTTTACTATAGATCTTCCTAACCTAGCACGCTCATGACATGTGGGTGTCAATTCCCAGAACCACCCAGCTAGCTTGGCATCAGAATATGCCAGGCTGGGGAAGGCTGTTCTCTACAATACCACTGCCAAAACAAACAGGTTCATCCCAAAAACAAATGTAATTAATGAGGACAGAAATATGTAAAAGAAGGGAGAGAAACCGTGGGAATTGCTTGGCAGTAACTGTGGAATCAACATCTTAAGCAGAAACCAAAATGTGCCAGTTTTTGCTGATTGCATTGTTTCTATTTAAATTATTTCTAATTAAATATTACATTATTTCTATTTAAATTGTCTATTTACCCCCATCGTTTTCATACTGTCCATAGCAATTATTAAAAAGACCTGGGCTCATTCCATTTTACCAACAGATTTGTAGCATAACAAAAACAACTCCATTTTCAAGCTTTGTGTGTATTTTGGGGGATGATTTTGGAGATCAGAAAGGAAGGGTCAGAGGCTTGCATAACACTGAGTGAGTTTCATATAGCCATGAGATTTCATCTCAGCTTCCCAACTCATAGCTCAATGGTAGCCTTTAAGACAAGGATGGTCAAACTTTCTGGACAGTTGGGATTTTCAAAACACGCCATGGGAGTCCTCACAAAATGACTGCCACAAGAAGGCAAACTTGTGTGGTTATCCCATGCCACTCCTTTTAGATGGTCCCTCTTTCCCTTGCAAGACGCCTTCTACAACCTTCACCTTACCTTCCCCTTTTCCTGGGCGTCTGGGCACATTCCCAGATGAAGCCCTGGGCTGCTGTCACCTAACATTTTAATATTCTAAGAATGCCTGCGGGGTCTATATGAGGCCCTGGGAAATTTTTGTAAATATAGATGATGCAAAAGGCTGGTGTCCTGCATTGTAGCAGTCTAGCTTTCTGCTTATTCATCTATTTTACTTGAATTTTTTAAAAACAGTGGGACAGAAACCTGGTGGGCAGCAAAGGAATACCTATGGACATACTGGTATCTATGTGTTTAATCCCCATGCTAGGACAGACCTTCCCAGCCTTGGGTCCACCAGATATGGTGAACTTCCAATTCACAGTATTCAGAGTCACCATGACCATGTTGGGTGAACGTTCTAGGAACTGCAGTCCCATACTTCTGAAGGCTACCAGATTGAGATGTACCAGGAATGTTAAG